AACTGTCCCATATCTCCTTGGATTATAGCCTATGATGCATCTTATAGAAATTATTATGGTTGCAAGTTAGAGTAAATAAACTTCTCATTTTCCCCCAGATGTTATTAATTACCCATTAAGATAAATAATAGTAAACAAAACAAAACAAAAAGCAATCTGGGAAATAATTCACACCAGAAGGGTAAAGGAAATAATTAAGTTCTTAGGAAAGAAATAAAGAGAATCCATTAATTAGTATTTTGACTCTCAACAGGAGAGAGAAATTAGATAATTTTAGGAGAAAAATTATTTAGCTGTTGTTTGTTTAATCAATGGAGACACACTTGATGCCACTACCCAGTGGTTTTAAAAGGGTGATCATATCTCAACTCATTCATCTTAAGAAATATGAGCTCAATGTAGCACTATCTAGACAAATCGAGCCTTTTTCTACAGATAACCAAATTTAGGGGAGTTTCTTTTTAGGTAAGACATATCATACCTCCTGCTCACCATACACACACACACACACACACACACACTAAACAAACACAGAGAAAGGAATATACATATGTCCAATTCCATTTGCATGATAATTTTAGTATTGGGAATTTGTGAATGTATAGATACCTTTAAAATTGAAATAAGTAGTGTTTATTAAATGTTCATAGTTTTTTTCTATTTATATAATCTCATTTAATACTTAATGGAAATAGCTATCATTGCGATCTTATTATTCCTAATTTACTGGCGAAGACACTGAAACACACAGAGGTTAGCAAAACAAAGAACTTAAGGTAAACAGTCTGACTCCAAGTCTTTGCTCACAATCAAGTTTAACTGTTTTAGTGTTATGTGTACACTCCTAAAGGTGTGTGTGTATGTGTGCATGCATGTGTGTATGTGTGTATATATAAAATATCTTTTGATAAAGCTGCCCTGGAAGTTGTGTGTTTTTAGAAACAAAATCAAGACCCAAGCTTAGGAAGGCTTTTGAGAATTTCTTTAAAAATTTAGCACTACCACCGTACCTCCCTGCTCCTTGGCCTCTGCAAGACACACAGGTCAACCTTCGAAAAGAGACTCAGTGAGTTTGCATTGTTTATTTATATCTCAGGGAATAAAAGGAAACATTGAATGGTATGATGTGTTAAAGAAAAATAATTACCTACCGGGTCACGTGGTGAAGTGGGAGCTCCTAGAAAGGGCAGTATGAGTCAACCAGACAAATCTATCTTTACATTATCTTGGAAAGTAAAAGTACACAAATCTCATGAGATCTTAAGTAAAAGCCAATTAACCTTGGCAGTTGTACCACGGAGTAGTTAGTATTTTATTCTAAAATTATAGTAATTCAATGAATTGCATTTAACCTCAATTTCAAGTAAAACACATAGAGAAAAGGCAAAGTAACAATGCATCACTTTATTTAAAGAGAAAAACAGAGAGAGAGAAAGACAAAACCTAAGCAAAGTATTTCCTCATAAAACCATACTGGTTTTCAAAGATGTTGTAATTTCAAAGTTATCTGTGTCTGGAAACTTCCTCAGCAAATTCCTGTCACAAGAACATTATCTCATTACCATTTGAGATAAATAAAATACCTCTCATTCCTTCATCTTATGAATTCAGTTTTATTTCTCTAACAGTGTATCTGTCCTCCACTACAGAGTGGATAATTACTAGTATAATTACCTACCTCATTTTTCTCAAGTAAAAAATGCTTCGGTTACTATAAGCATAGTTGTTTAAAATTCCTTTGATTATCCATGCATACAAAGCCATGCTGAAAGGGGTTTCCCTTTTTAGGTTATCTGGTGAATAACTCTAAATACAATTCCCTAAACTAGGTCTAACTATTTACAAATGAACAGACATAAAGAGGAACATGAGTAAAGCCTGTGCATTTGAGGGATGGGGATGATTGTCTACATCAAATAGCTGATTGGAGATGCTAATTTGTATGTCCCTTTGCACAGTCCAAATTAGCATTGTGTATTCAATGCAATTGCATTGGACAGTTATCTACTGTGCTCTTAGAATTTCTGCATTAAAATAACATGAAACATGTGAATAGGAATAGAATCAGGGTAGAAAAATAAACTTTCAACCGGTATATGCATGTTTTGCTGAATTAACATCCATGAACATAGGCATGCAGGCATGCACATACATGGATAAATATGTAAACATATGAGGGGGATTCATACTAAACTTATGCATCTACAAATTAAAATGTTCACAACTGCCAGAAAGCACAAATGTGTATAGAAACTGCTAGAATAATGCCTACAATTTTTAAGGTTTTGAACACCATACAAAATATTATACATTCATTAATCTTAGTTTAGTATCCTTTTCTGAGTGAAGACATTACAAGCCAAGTTGCCTTCATACTCCACTCCCCATGTCCCATGGTATACCGTAAAGAGAACCCTGGTCTTTCTTTATAGCAGTCATGCATTTATCGTGTGCTTTCTTCATTAATGGTTGTCTTTTTCTATACTGCAAGCTCCATAGATGCAGGACTCTGGCCTCTGCAGTGGAGGCAGTGTGTGAAATGCTTAAGCACACAGATTCCAGTAACTCATTTATCCCTCCTCTGCCTCTTACTAGCTGTGTGATCTTGACAATTCAGTAACACTTTTCTACTTCAGTATCCTCATTTATGAAATAAGGATAATTGTAATATGTCTCAAATAATCCTGAGAATATTTATAATACTTTTATTGAATTTATTGAAGTGACATTGGTTAATAAATTTATATAGGTTTCAGGTGTACAATTCTATAATACATCATCTATATATTGTATCATGTGTTCACCATCCCAAATCAAGTCTCCTTCCATAACATTTATCCACCCTTTACCCTCTGCCTCCCCCTGCCCCACTCCTCTTTCCCTCTGGTAATCATCATATTATTGTCTGTGTCTATGAGTTTTGTTTTTCTTTGCTTAATCTCTTCACCATATCTAAAACAGTGATTGGCATTAAGTGTAATATTAGTATTCAAAATTAATACTTTTGCTTACCATTGTATCCTAATGGAAAAGTGGAATAGTTGAATGAACAAATGAACAAATCATAGCGATCATCTTATTCAGGGATATTCAAATCACTTTGAAATTGGACTTTGGACTCCCTTTCACCATTGACAGGATTGCAGAATGTGTGTGGGACTTGGTTAGAATGTCTGTAAGGAGAATTCTCCGAAAGGTCAGGGGCCTCTGGGGGGACCTTGCTGAAGATGGCAGCCCCTACTTTGACTTTTCCAAACAAGTCTGAACCCCTGGTTATTTTACTAAAATCTCTGTTTAGTCTTTTAGACCTGACCTTGTAGAAGCATGTGCTTTCTCAAGGATACTTACCCTACTGATTATATCCAGAGGTTAATTTTAGTTCAAGCTGTTTTGACAATAAAAGTCTAAGAAGGCAGTCAAACAGGACTGCTCTTTACTTGTAAAATAAAACAGTCCCTTAACCCTCTCTTTCACAGAAATGTGTGTCAAAGCAGTCTGTTCATCCCTTGCTCAGGGTCTGCCAGTCAGCCCTGGCAAATGTTTAAACACAATAGATTATATGAAAGAATAAATACTCTAGAACAGACTGACAAATGTCAGAAGGGAGTGGGTTGATGGGGCTGGGTGGAAAAAGTGAAGGGATTAAGCAGTATAAATTGGTCATTGCAGAAGAGCCACAGAGATGTGGATTAGAGCATAGGAAATACAGTGGGGCCTTGACTTACGAGTATCCCAACTAACGAGTTTTTTGAGATACCAGCTGTCTCTTGGCCGATTTTTTGCATTGAGTTGACAGAGTAATTTGAGTTAACGAGCTCCTTAACGAGCTCGGTCTCGGAACAAATTAAACTTGTAAGTCAAGCCCCCACTGTATACTCAGTAATTTTGAGATACTTAAATATGGGCCAGGTGAGTATTCTGAAGCAATCAGGGGACCACTCTGTAAAGCATGTGATTTTCTAACCACTTTACTGTATGTCTGAAACTAATACAGAATAATATTGAATGTAAACTGTAATTGAAAAATACATTTAGCCCAGCTGGCATGGCTCAGTGGTGGAGCATCAATCCCCAGTAAGGGGAGAGCAGGAAGCAGCCAATCAATGATTCTGTCTCATCATTGATGTTTCTATCTCTCTTTCTCTCTCCCTTCCTCTCTGAAATCAATAAAAATATATATTTAAAAAATACATTTAAAGAAAAGTATAGATACTATTGAAGGTGAGGGTTTGTGCCGTCCAGAGCCCTATCCTCATGTTCATTTACTTCCATAGCGGTCCTTGAGTTATGACTGCTAAAGGACTAGGTCTCAGCAGAACAGAGGAAAATCTCTCAAGAGCTCAGAAACTAATGCTAAAAGAAATTAAGTGACCTGTGCAAGTCAGAGTGAATGTCAAAGCTGGATTCCAATGAGGACACATACATTCCCTATGAATTATGTCCATTACATTGAGCTGCATTCCAAAATTCATCCAGCACTGTCATATCCACTCTGCTTAAAGTCACAGCTACAGGTCCATATATAAACCTTCCAGAGAAAAAGGCAAAGGAAAAAAGCCTACAAACAAAACAAATAACAACAAAACCCTAAAAGATAGCATTTATTTCCTCTTCCTAAAACACTGGTTTTAATAGTCCCTGTTATCCTACTTTTAGCTTCCCTTCCTTCTTCCCTTGCTGCTTTAGGTTCTGAATTAATTCATTCAGCAAATATTTGAGCACTTTCTATGGGGCAGTTAGTTCTAAGCACTTGAGACTCATTTTCAGACAAAAAGACAAAAATCTTTGCCATCATGGAACTCTGTTAAAAAGAAAAAAAAAAAACCACTCTAAGTAAAATATAAGATTTCCAGGACACTGGCAAAGAGAGATTGAAGAAACTTCCAGGATATCTTTAAAAAGTTCTTAGCTCTTGATACACAGAAGCAAGCACTATTTTTAATGTTAATATTTGTTGTTGTTTTTTTCAATTAGTTTATGTAGAATAATATACATTGTAGTTTTGGAAATAAATCTTTATTGATGAAAAATAGGCCATCTTTCAGTACCTTTTATCCTTCATCACTTGGACATTAACACTATGGTACATAATCCAGATGAACAAATAATTCGGGAAAGTTTAAGACTTTACACATGACAGAAAATGTTCCCTAAGTAAACAAGTATATGTTTTCATCACTCTCTAAGTCTGGCCAGCTCACCCTACTCTATGTGTTGATAATATTTCAGCCTCTGCTGCAATTAGTGCTAATTACAGTACTGAGCTATAAAAATAAAAGATTCCACTATTAAAAGTTCACAGATACTGTTTTAATCCACCTATCCACATTGTCATCTAAAACAGCCAATGTCTCTTTCACATAGAACTAGAACTGTCTTAGACTTGTAATCCAGTATATTTTATGAAACAGAATTATGTCTGAAATAGCACTGCAATGCTAAATAGGTGATTAAGGAATGAAAATCAATAGTTAGCCATCTAATATATTCAGCATTCAGAGATTTAGGATCACACAGGAAGTCACATCCAGATGAGTTACTGAATCTTTTACTTTTCATCTGAAAATGTTGGCATTGGATAGACACAGTCAGCATTTATTCTGATACACTTGAGGCACTACTCCAATTCACGTAGTTGGATATAAGAGAAAATACAAAATCCAAAACAAATTCATAACTTAGAATGAATATATAGCAGATTAATACTTTAACTAGAGAGAAATAAGTTGTTGTAGTTCTGGTAACCCATATATTAAGTTAGTCCATCAGTAAGTATGTTTCTCAATAGAAATCAGTTCGTAGTCTGCAAAACATAAGAAATCTTTCACTGCTTACCATTACAGGCACATAATAGAATTCATACTATATATATTCAACATTCAGGTTAATGTTTTCTTCCATATGAGGATAGTTAGGCTAATGTTAACTCCTCAAAAAACAATCATCTATTTATAGAGCTATTACTAGTAATTAAAAGACATAATAAGAAATGGCCCCTCTTTTATAGACAAAAGCCACACGTGTAAGTAAAGCATTTTAAATCTCTCTGATGCTATTTTAAAGTAATTAAAGGATTGAGAGAAATAAAATACATTCATTACATTCACAAAGCATACTAATAAAGGTATTATGTACTTAACTATCAAAAGGAACTCTCAAAACATTTCTTAAAAATATTTATAAAGCTCTTCTGCTACAAATTCCTTTTGTTTTGAAACAAATAATGCAATGAATATACCACAGTAAAGTCTGCAGGACATAGAATACTATCTATCATTAAAGAAAAAGTATATACATTATATTCATTCAAAGCCCACTTGATCATAACAATAATTAAGAGAAGCAACTTGATTTTTATTATTAATACTAGGATAGGAATTTATAGCAAAGAAAAAATTACAAATAAGCCGTTCAAATTTGATTAATATTATGCCAAATTCTCATTTTTTATCATATATGCTATAAAATTTCAGAAAATATCAGCCTGATTTTCTTTTTATTAGTTCCAAGGATGCCTTATAACATACTGTGCTAAGGTGAAATGGGTGATTAACTTTCATAGGATCCATAGAGTGTAGGAGTGAAGTTGAGTCACAAGGTCGGGGTAGGAAAGTGGACCTAAATTAAAACTAACTTATCTACTTCCCTTTCATAAGACTTTGAAGATGGTTAGGGTTTATGGTTACAGTGGAAAAATTATAAGGAACAGGACTCAAGAAATGAGCCATATTCCTGCTCATATAATCAAATTTTTTAGAGCAAGAAGTCAACAGAAACTTTGGACTTTAATCTTCTCTCTATTATGGTCACTTACCTGTAAATTCTATGGGTCATCTATAAAATTAATTCTCTTTCTTTCTTAGCATTAGCCTATAATCTGAAAAATACTGATAAATGACACAGTTATTCTGTAAATACAACAGCCACAATGTTACTTTTACTGTTAATGATAGTTTGCCATTTCTCCAAATCACTACATTTCTTTGATTATGTCATCCTGATCAAAGGTGTGCCATTTTATACCAGAATTTAATTTCATCTACTGATTAAAGATTTCATGAAATCTGTGTATATTATTAAGTATTTCTAGCACAGCCTGTCAGGATTCAATGCCCCAATGAATGCTTGGCATATCCATTGTATAAATCCCATACTTTTATATGCTTTCTGCAAATGGGTCTACATATATTTGGCTCAGACCAACTACAATGATCATTTTATCCATTAATTTGAGTTTGTAAGTTTGATGCTATATTCATCCTATCAGTCATATAATTATTGAATTATCAATTTCTCTTTCTTGTGAACTATGTTCAAATTATTCAGGGGTGAATTTATTTGATCACTGATAGTCCTATATGGAGCTCCAACTTCAAAGATTATCACAGCCATTTTTTGTTTTAATACATTTGTTTCCAAGATATACAAATCTGGGTTCATTGGCTCCATATGGCTATTTTACTTCCACCAAATCCCCATTTTTAAATGTATATCATCTGCATCTGCTTGTACATTTGTATTTTGGAACCCCCTCTCCATCCCACATTTCAGTACACAAATTTCATATCAAAAATTATGCCAAGCATTTCAAATAACTTGATTCTAACTTGCAGTCATTCCAGCAGACAACCATAGGGATGTGTCTATAGAATGCCAAAAAATCTAATCAGTTGTGTCAGAAATTTAGTCCTTCATTTAGATATTTTATCTACATTATACCAAATACACTTAATGAATTCTGTTAACTGACTAAATCCCGGACAGAACTGCCTTGATATTGGTTAGCCATGGTTCAACATAATAAGAACAGCAATAAACCCTCTCAAACAAATATTCATATTCCAATCTTGAAGAA